ATATTTGGGGTGCACGGTCAGAAAGTATTTCTGACGGTGTCATTTGATCCATCAGGTCTGCTGATCACAATTTAGGGAGAGTGACCCTGGGAGAGGCAGGGAAAATGCCATGCTGGTTGAGAGCACACTCCATTTCAGGTCCGTTTTGTAGGAGCGCATGCATTCTTGCTGTAATTCAACCTCGATAAATGGCAGTTGTGTTCCTCGGGCACCCTTACCTCTCCTTAAGAGCCCTCATCCGGCTGTAAATCACCTCTGAGGTGGCATGTCTCCCCCAGGGAAACAAGTTTCTTGAGGTGATTGCCAGCCAGGCAAAGTGGTTCTTGATATTCAGCCTGAAACCTGGGGGTTGTGGAGGGTGCTCTCCTTCCTGCCCTGGGAGCTGGGTGCGCAGTCGCTGGGTGTGCAGCCACCTCTGTGATGTGTACACCTGCATCTACTCCGTGATCCGCTGGGGACTCCTGACCTAATGCTTTATGTGTCTCTGAATCCGCCTGTCTCAAATGCCCTTCTCCTGGACATCTTTGTTCACTCTTGGGGTGCAGCGGAGTGAGTGATATAACCATTCTGGGTGTCACACACCTGCCGTGCGCTTCACTTTTATACCCTGGTGTAGACAGGAAGGAAGTCGGGGTGAAGAAGAGGGTCAAGTGGGGGAGAAGAACTGAGTGACAGCTTACCTAGCCCATTTAAGAGTTCATCAGCCGCCACCATCCCTCCAGTCTTTCTTACCCTTCTTCTTCTTCTTCTTTTTTTTTTAATATTTATTTATTTATTGTGTATATAGTATTCTGGCTGCGTGTTTGCCTGCAGGCCAGAAGAGGGCACTAGATCTCATTACAGATGGTTGTGAGCCACCATGTGGTTGCTGGGAATTGAACTCAGGACCTCTGGAAGAGCAGCCAGTGCTCCTAACCGCTGAGCCATCTCTCCAGCCCCCTTTCTTACCCTTCTTTTTCCTGCCCATCCTCTTCTCCCTCCCCCTTGATCTTATGCCACCCCTCTCTTCCCCTCCCTCCTCCTTTTCTTGCTCTTCTCTTTCCCCTCATCTTTCCACCCACCTCCCTCCTACCTTCCCCCCCACTTCTCTCCTTCTTTTCTCTTCCCTTCCTTTCTCCCCCTCTCTCAGTAATCAAACAGGGAAGTTCCTTGATATAGAAAGACGGTGAAACCTTTCACCAAGTGAGCAACATTTTCCAGAGGTAGATTAGCAGGATAAGAATTCACGCCTTTTAGGTATCGGTGCTCCGCACCTCAGATCTAGTGAGGTGTTGGGGGTCTGTGGAGGAGCCATCCTGACCACAGTGAAAACTCTAACAAGGATTTACAGACCTGCCTCACCAGTCCAGGCCAGTTTAAGGATCTGGGCACAGAATGTGGGAGACAGCAGCCTGAGTCCCCTGCCCCCAACTCCACATGTCTTTTCTGTTCCTCTGACCTCTGAACCCTGTATTCAGGCACAGCTCCTTCATTCTGCTGAATTCCCTGGTGATTACTTAAAATTCCTCACGAACGAGTATTTGCCAGATTGCTAACTTGAAGGTAAACTGATTAGACATTGAGGAAATCAAAAACAAAAACAGCCCAGTGAGTCACCTGATGTCACTGGGCTGGGATTTCAGGCACAAAGGGCCGACCTCTGCACCGTTCTGCATGGTGCCCGACCACAGCTGAAGACAGTGCCTGCCCGGAAAAAGGGCTCTGAGCCACGTCACGCCTCCTGCAGGCAAAGGAGTCACAGGCACCAGGACGCTGAACTTCCTCCTGCATAGGACAGCTGACCATGTGCAGGGAACGAACCGGGCAAGTGCAGTGTTTCGGGGAAAATAACCAAAATTTCGGAGAAAAAAGCAAAACACTTTCAAATGAGGAAACCAAACCTTAAGTGCCCCTGTTTCTGTCTCCTCTCTTCTCTGTCCTTTCTGGACTCTTCACAGCATCATTACCTATGCCAGGCCAGCCAGTTCCTGTGTGAGATTAATCTGGGACAAAGATCCCTGGTACTAGGAAACGCCAGGCTTTAGATTATTATTATTATTGTTGTTGTTTGTTATTATTATTATTATTACTATTATTAGGTCTTTGGGACTGGAAGGCATTTTGAATTTCTGAACACTTAGGTGCCTTGTTCATATTTACATATGTATTTTTGTACCAGGTCTCCATGTGAAAGAACAGAGAGCCCTGGGAGTGATCCATAGCATTAAATAGCTGATGCCCATTTGTCTTTCAGACAGGGTCCTGGGGTAGCTTGCTTTCCCTGTGGCACCCCTCTCATTCTGAACATACCTGAAGGGCACCCTGGCCTTGTCTCCGTCCACATACATACCGAAGAGCTATTAAAACTTGCACTGTCTCCCTGTTTCTCAATATCGAAGCTGACCACCTTGACTCCAGCCTTGGCTGTCTGGAGCCGTGAGCTTGCTCAGTGTTTTTAACTGACGTCCGATTAGGCCTTTCTCCCAAACAGCTCCTGCAAACACAGGAACTAGGGGAGGAACTGAGGTTCATTGTCTAGTCGTGAACTACCTGGTCCAAGAAATCTGTTGTATATACCATAGTAAAGAATTCAGCACAGTCACAAGTGTGCTGACTCTTAAGTTGAGGACACGTCTCCACTCCTTTCTTCAGCAGATGTATCCTTCCCAGTGTTTCTCATCAAGGAGCTAGCAATAAGGTGAACCCCACACAGCTTGGTGTTACACATGCACACACGTGCGTGTACACACACACACACACACACACACACACACACACACACACACACACTTCCATAAATGAATCTTTCCTCCTAGGCCCCACTACTCCATGTATCCTTGGTTCCCTTGGAAAGAAATTCATGTCTCCCTCCCCTTCTGTCCTGTGTCTTGCAGAGCAGTGGACTCGCCGGGGCACCAGTTCAATGAAATAATAATTGCAAGCATGGCTGGGTGGTGGTGTCTCAACGCCTTTAATCCCAGAACTCAGGAGGCAGAGATGGGTGGATCTCTGTGAGTTCGAGGCCAGACTGCTCTGTAGAGCGAGTTCCAGGACAGCCAGGGATACATAAGAAAAACTTTGTCTTGGGGGGAAAAAAAGACTTTCAAGCATGTTTGATTTGATTCGAGGTGATAGAAATGGAGAATTGTGAGTGCTTTTTAGTCAAGTTTAAAGAGATGAAAAGGTGGAAAGAAAAAAAATAGGTCAAGTACTGTAACTGGGTAATGTTTTCTTAAATGTTATGTGGTGGGAGATGTAGCTGTTGAAAATGCAGAAAGATGCGTACATCCATTATACTGCAGCTTGAAAGTGTGTGTGTGTGTGTGTGTGTGTGTGTGTGTGTGTGTGTGTGTGTGTGAGTGTGTGTGTGTTGTATGTCTGTGCTCGTGTGGCTATGTCTATGTGTGCATGCATGTACAGATGTGTGTTCATGAATGTGTGTTCTGGCCAGAGGTCAGAGGCCAGAGGCCAGAGGTCAGCATCAGGTGTCTTCTTCAGTTGCTCTCCACTTTGGTTTTTGAGATAGGATCTCTCCCTGAACCTGGAGCTCACCAGCTTGCCTAGGCTGCCTGCCTGGCTGGTGAACTCCAGGGATCAGCTTGTCTCACTTTCTAGTGCACGGCTGTACCCAGCTCTTTGACGTGGCGTCCGGGATGCTAATTTGCATGCCTGTGCTTATGCATCTAGCACTTCAGTGAACCGTCTCCCTGGCCCTCAAATTGTATACTTTATAATATTTACCAATAATATGAGTCTCCCATGTGTCAGCTAGCGTTTCTAATTAGTATGTAACAAATAAGCTAGATTGTTAATTTTTACAAATCTTTTAGGAGTACACGTTATTGTTATCGCTGAGAAAACAGGAGCCCAGAGAACTTTGTAAACTTGCCTAAGGTTAGACAGCCACCCAAGATTAATCACCCTTGCCTGTGGTCAGACGTAGGACCACAGGAAGGTTGACTGCGGACCCTAGACCACTGTACTCACCAGCCTTTCAGCGGCAGGGGCGCCACGTTAGGATTTCATTGGACTTTTAAACATTATTTTTTCTTCTTAATGAGGACCAGCTCGCTATATAGTTAGAAGGATAAATATTTGTCCTATTTGATGACAGATGTGATGGGTTTAAAAAAAAAAAAAAGCCTCAGGCAAAGTCATGCACGTTTTCTTACATATTCCTCCATCTGTATTTACTCTGTGAAAAGGTCACTGGAGCACAAGTACTCAGATTTCATGTTTCTCCGCAGCTTCTCGGCGGCTAAGCCTTGCTCTACAAATTGGCTTCTGAAATATTTTGTGATGATGTATATTGCTGTCCGGTATGAACACTCTGGAAGAGCCCCCGAGTCATGGGGACCTCCTGACAAGGACCTCTGGGAGGGTTCTCCATGAATGCCAGGAATTGGGAAGGGATTTTTGTCTTTCGCTCAGTCGATGGTCCTGCTGTCTGTCCATCCAGTCCCATTTCCTGGAAGGAACACGGGCTCTGGGAGGCGAAGGTGTTTCTCTCGTCCCTTAGCTACCTGGCTATGGTTTGCGGTGGAAGAGCGGGGGAAGGGAGAGAGAGAAAAAAAAAAAAAAGACTGAAATAGTAAATGACTGTAGGTTCTTGAGAAAAATAGAGTTAGAAGCATTTGTGGTCCGGATGAAAATAGCACGTTTCCCTTCTGCCGGGACCATGGGGCTCAGAGTGCTCCGGGGAATAGAAAATAAATAAAAATTGATTCCTCACCAGTTGAAGGAAATGCCCTGACTCTGGGAACTGAAATGACAGCCCCAGAATTGAAGAGCTTGTAAAGCCACTTTTGAAGGTTAAAAAAAGGAAAAAGAGAAAGAAAGAAAACTCAACACCAGGAGGCTAAAAAAAAAAAAAAAAAAAAAAGGGACATTCTATATTAGGGAATCTAGTCTCCCTAAAATGATCTGAGAGGCTGTTTTCTGAGACCGGCCACCAGGCAGCAGAACCCCGGCAGGCGTGAGGTCCTTCCTTGCTGACCATGGTCCTTCCGTGTCTTCTGCAGGTGAGAAGCCTTACAAGTGCTCATGGGAAGGATGTGAGTGGCGCTTTGCACGGAGCGATGAGCTCACGAGGCACTACAGGAAACACACAGGTGCAAAGCCCTTTAAGTGCAACCACTGTGACAGGTAAGGCGACCTAGAAGCTACCGGAACTAAGGAGGGAGATCGTGCTTATAGGTTGGAGGCTGGTCCAAAAGTGTGATGTAGGACGAGTCACGGGCCGGGCTCACCCCCAGCTCCATGGCCCTAGCAATACCTTTTACGTCTCTACTGCTTTTAAAAAAGTGAGAGGAAGCGTACTCTTACATGGTATAAATTCGGGTTCTCAGTTTGGTAGCATAGCGTTGGCTCAGCCTTGGCCCCCTTCACCAGTGCTGGTCCCTGGGTAGAAACAAGACATCAGCACCACTCCTCCCGCAGAAGTGATGAGTCGGAAAATTAGAGTACACTGGAAAAGGTAATAGACTATCTCATCATCGTTGCTTCTTCTGATCTTTTTATTATCATCCATACCCACCTTCCCTCATCTTAATAGTGAAGGGGCGGGTGTGGATCAATGGGAGAAAGGCTCATTTCTAAGACTTCTTTCTGAAGCATTATTGGAAATGAGTTTACTAAAGGAAGGGCCTGTTCTTTGGACATCTGGACTATTCCTTCCTCGATGAAGATATGCTCAAGGGTCCAAAGATGGCCACACTCTGCAAACTCACCCTGTAATTCAATTTCAGACCTTCAGCATTTGATGGTGGAAGAAGGATCATGTAGCCGCAGATAGTAGCCAAGTAATAGTATCTGACAGCCCTGGCATTATCAGCCGATAAACCCCAAAATGGAGACTCTGCAGGCCAAGGTGAAGGCAGGATTAGGTTTAGACATAATCAAATAATGGGCTTGCATCTGAGCATGTTATCCGTCTAATCCTATTTCTGTGTTTAAAAGGAAGCTTAAGAAAATTAACCATCTTTTTAATGCAATACTAAAGGTCTCAGTTATGATGAGAAAAATGCTTCTAATACAATAAAAGTCCCTGAAAGCCTCAGGGTACCCTGGTTTGGACAGCAGCATGCAGGATGGGGGGGGGGGACGACAGGATGTCCACAGAGACCTGGCTGTCCTTGGGAGGAAATGAGATCTCTCTCACTTCCTGCCTCTCCCAGTCCCTGTGCTCCACACCTGCATCCCCCACTGGCCAGGCCTTCCTCTGAGAGTTTGCTTTCTTGGAGAGTAGAACAGGCATGTCCAGGTCCACACTCTGCCAAGTTGGCCTGGTGTTCTTTGGGGGATGCTTAGAAAGGACAGTTGTGTTTTTCCTCCCCCCACCCACCCCCCATTCTTCCTGAAGAGGCTATTTTCCTCTTATCTTCATCCTCTGAGAACTAAATAAAGACCCCATGCCTCCTGGAGTGCGGAGATAACCTCCCCCCAGGCCTGAGGAAGTGTGCTTCTAGCTGCCATTGTCAGCCTCTGCCTGGAGAGCTGTGTCTGCTACCCAGGTACACAGCCCTCGTTCCACAGCCACTCCCTTCCCTAGAAGGCCTCTCGAGTGCAGCAGCCTTTCTTCCTCAGGGTGTCCCGTCCGTCAGTGTGCCTGTGTTTGACACCATCCTTCAACCTCTGTCCCCCATGGCCCCGGCCCAGTCCTCCCCAGCCCTGGCTAATAAAGAAGCCGACAGGTGTTGGCTCTACCCACCGGCCTGTGAAGACGATAACATCCACTGCCATCAGCTGGGATGAAGATGAATTCTTTGTGAGCTGTCACCATGTAGTGGCAGGAGGTACCCGCAGAAGTCACCCGTCTCTGAAGGGGTGTTGAGGCTGGGACTTGGAGATTGAGGCATTATGGGTTGCCCTGGTGCTTAGAAGCAGACAATGAGCACTTGTGAGGAAATTGCCAGATCTACCCACTGAGGAATTCCTAACTTGGAGCAGCCGACACATTAGCAGCCAGTCACCCCCTTGTGTGACGGGTGTGGAAAAATATTCCAAGCCTGTCGGGTGTTAAGGCAATGGCAGTGATGGGTAATCTGCTTAGTCACTTGCTTAGTTGTCCTCATCAAAATACACCGTGGTCTTTGCAGATGGGAGTTGCCGTGTGGACGGCACCAATCCTGTGATGCGAAACCGAGGGGGCGTTTGAGTAGGCCAGAGTCCCAGGCCCTAGGTCAGGGGTCCGTTTTCAACCTCAGGAATGAAGGAGGGCTGGAACTCGCTAGTGTCTCCTGACAGGCCGTACCTCTCATTTCACTCCTCAAGGAGCTAAGAATAGACAGGTCTGGGAACTGTCGTGAGGCCCCAAGGCAGATGAAAGGGAGCCCTGGAGTGATGGGAAGCTGCTGTTCCTGAGGAGACTTTGACCTTTGGAAACGGAGGCTGTCTACAGCCGGTAGCAGGATCCTGTGCCCTGATGGCTTCACAGTGTGTGTGTGAATGCCTTGCTGCTGGCCTCAGACTTTGAGCAGTCAGCCCCCTCTCTGTAGAGGCTAAATGAGGCTTAACCTCCCTTTTCTTAAACATATACCATGTGCAATGTACACTTTTATTTTGTGTGTGTGTTTTAAAAATACAGGAGGTAATCATATGTATTTCTTTTCTTTGCTCCTGTTTAAGATTGTTAAATGTCAAATACTAAACAAGTCCGTATGTCTGGTTTGATCTAGAACAATTGTAACTGACCACCATAGGCTCATATTCCCAGATGGCTGTCCTGGACTGGAGCTGAGTAACTGTCACATGTTGTGAGGATTGTTTTTCTGCTATCTCCACCACTCCCTATTGCCTCTCCAGCATGAAAACAAGTCATTTGTTGTCTAGCTTCCCCTGCTTCCTGTGTTATCTCCTCTAGCAAGGAGCACTATTTCTTCATGCTTAATGCCTTATCCCAAGTGGAAAGAGAGAGTCTGGCAGTGTTGTGCGCTTTTTTATACTTGGCTCAGTGCACTTCCATACTTCCCCCTCCTGGCCCCTGAAGACACTGAGTTTTGTGACCTCAGGCTTCAGGTTAAGGTTGGAGGGGAAACCAGTGAGGTGACTGTACCACCACATCCTCATCATCAGACAGAACCTAGGATAGCCCATCGAGTGATCCAGGGCCAGAGGGACCGGCCCTGTCCCTGCCAAGAGGGCGTGAGGCTATTGATGGGGGCACAGAGGGCTCAGTTCTGCAAACAACAGGCGGAGTAGCACCCCTCCCAACAGGCTGTTAGCATCCAGGGGGGCTGTTATCAAGGTGGTCCTAAAAGGTCTTGGGTAGTTGAGAGGGAGGGGGTGTTTGGGTATTTATAGCAGTACACCTTTAGATGACAAAGAGTCTCCTAGAGGGTTGCAGTTGTCTTAACACACATTTGACCTCGGAGGGTCCTGACCATAAGCAAGAGAAACGACCGTAGGCTTTGACTAGTCCCCCGCAATAGACCAGTTTCAGTCACTAAAGACCTTGTTCTGAAAGTCGTTAGGCTGTGGTGCCATTCTGAATACTTCCCGGGCTGTGGGAGCCTTCAAATGATTGGATTCTGCACTTCTAGACCTCCAGATGCCCAGTTTATCTATTTCTCTCCTGCTTCTATGCAGAGCTCAGTAAGTATAAATTGATAAATGAAAATTAATCTTGACTGAGTACCTAACCTGGTGTATTGAATTTGAGTGGAAACCTTAATTGTGGGGAATCTGGTCTAAGTCTAACTACCAAACATTTCCTGGAATTTGAGCAAATGAAGATGCTTGTTTGGGTCAGTTGGCACACAGTTGTATTTCATACCAGACTAAAGGGCTTGGCTTTTTTCCTGAAAAAGATTGAAGGATAAGGATAGATAGTTGAACATATATGGCTAGATGTCCTGCCATAGGAGAAGCAGAGGAGAAGCTGAACACACGTGACTGAATAACGTTCTACATCAGGAAGATTTCCCCAGGACCTGAGAAGGAAAGCAAAGAGGCCCGGCCCTCTGCCAAGGCCCCTCCCTCTTCATCTCACCAGTTCAGTATACTAGAGAAAGACTGGACAGACAGACAGACTGCTCTGTTGTTTTCTCTCAGGTCCTAATTCCACCCTAACCACTGATCCTCTGGGTTGATGTTCTGGTTGTTATAACAACCTGGGACCGCAGATGTCTCATGTTTATTTACATTACAAAATTATCCTCTTGCTGGTCTGTAGCCTCCAAGTTCCATAGAAGTTCCTCTCACTGGGCTGTGGTCAAGGTGTTGGCAGCCTTCATTCTACTCTGGAGGTTTTAGGGGAGGAGTCTGTTTCTTGCCTTTTTCCAGGGTCTCATTGCAGGAGACTCCACATCCTCCATCTTCAAAGCTGCTCTGTCTCTTTCAGCTACCTTTTCCATTTTTAAGGACTGTGCTTTGATGATGGAGGGTTAGAGTCTCCGGAAATGATCTAGGCAGCCTGTTGGTGCCAGAAGAAAGCAAATAGAGGTGGGAATTGGGGAAAGGAAGGAGAAGAGACAGTGGGCCCCCATGACAGTATGAGATTGTGCAGGTTAAAAGCTGAGTTCCCCGAAGACTGTTTAGCTATATCACTGTTTTACAATAAACCGAATCTGTTTCAGAGTTAGTGCAGCGGGATTGTCCATATAGCTGTTCACTCCAAATTAGGGCCTAAAATAAACTGGTGGGGCTGGGGCTGTTTTGGGGTGTCCTTGGGTTAGGTTGTTTTCTGCTGTAGTTTTCCCATTCCGTCAGTTTTTCATTGTCTTTCTGTCTTATTTCTCCTCCTCTCCTTAGGTTCTGTTGTGCGTGTGTACCTATTTAAGGAATGGACACAAACAGAGGGTGTGGAGACTGTTGGGGTCAGGGGACAGGGTGGATTTGTGATTTGTTTGTTTTAAGAATGAACAAACACAAGGAAGTCTTGCTTCGGACAGGAAACTCTGCAAACCTGAATGGGTGGCTTGCTAATGTCCTAGCCAGGGTTTTGAGTGTTGGGGCTATCTCAGGCTACAGGGATGCCTAGGAATGTTTTTATAGGCAAGACAAGGGCTGGCTTAAGGAAAGAGGGAGAGAGGGAGAGCACACAGCCAGGGTCACGCATGGCTGTTGTTTTACATGAACGTAGCTGGTACTCCAGCCAGAACCTAAGACTGCACAGTGTTGGAACATGGAAATGCTTATACAATACTAATGGTAAGATCCAGAACCCTGCTTTAGAGTGATGTTAGTGTAAAAGGTTATTTATTAGCTCAGATAACTATCAGGAATGGAATTCAGTTTGTCTTGAAGGCTGGCTGAATCCAGGTTCTCAGATATCATCTGGGTTTTTTTTTTTTTTCTCCCTTCCACCCTCTTCTCTGCCCACTTCCTTCTCCAGCAGGCTTTTCCACAGCTACAGTATAGGCACTAGCAACGCCAAGCTCATCTCATAGCAATTTAGCATTCCGAGTTGAAGGAGCACGTCTCTCTTCCAGTAATTTCAGCAGCTAAGAACTGCCATTGGCTTCTGTGAGTCATGTGACTGTTGCTTAGCAATCAATGCCTCCATAGCTTTCACCTTAGAAGGAAGGTCAGCTTTATACTACTGAGAACGTAAAAGGGTTTCTACCCAAGAGACTATCATGTGTCTACTATCAGTAAAGAGGAAGGAAGATGGCCATAACATCTGCCAAGGAAGGCGCTCGATTATAGAACTTACGCGCCAAGTGTTAGTCCAAAAGCCCCAGTCCCAGTTCCTGTTCTCCACCTAGGTAGCCTCAGCTCAGCTCTTTAACACACACAGAAGCAGACAGACAGATGCACCCACAGAGACTGACTGACTCACCATGGAGATGTCACTAGGGTAGTGTTGAGGATACTTTTGGCATATTCTACATACTAGAACATACTCAGTCTGTGAACACTGTTCTCCCTGCTTTGCCTTGACGTGAGCATATTATGCCTGTGTGAGCCTGGGAATTACAGGTAGTACATTCCTGGGCTTTCGTTGTGAAGCCTGAGACTGCAATCTGGGTGTTGAAACATCAGTGTTCCACTATCTGATGATACAGGCCAATTATTCGTTATTGTATTTACAGTGTATGAGCGTGATGTGCGTCTGGAAGCACTTCCACATTCGTTCCGTCTTAGATAATTATAGTTATAATCATAACAGTTAACATGCATTGACATCCTGCTCCATGTGACGTGATATTCTTATACTCGTTTTGTTTAAGCCTTTGCACAAGCCTAGGCGAGTGCTGTGAGCATCCCTGTGTGAGCTGAGCCATACAGCTCCTGGAAGAGCTAGGGTTTGAACGGAAGCAGTTGAACCCTAGCTGGCTCCTCCAGGACGCTTCCTCATCTCTCCATAACTCATGGGTGCCGTCTCTCTTTAAGACTGACCATTTGGTAAAAGCTGGACCTCTCTAATGAGCTTCTTTGTTTATCATTCTAGGTGTTTCTCCAGGTCTGACCATCTTGCTCTCCATATGAAGAGACATATCTAAACAAAACAAAACAAAACAACAACAACAAAAAAAACAAAAGTAACCACCAACAACAAAAACAACGAAACACCGTAAAGGCCAGAGTTGCCATGGCATCAGCCAGTGTCCGAAGGAAAGGCCGTGAGGCAGAGGGCTGGACTTCAGGCGGGGAGCGTTGCCTCGCAGAAGAAAGTTCTCGCTTACAAACCTCTGTGTACATACCTGTACACGCACACGTACACACACCCTCTCACACACAGACCCACACACAGACCCACTGTCATGCACTCAACTATATTTAAAGTATATACGTCTATTTCTTATGCCTTGCCCTAGCCAGATGGTAGAAGACGAAGAAGAAGAAAGGCAGGCGAACTCAGCGAGGCGCTGGCTGCTGACTCCAGCACTATTGGAATTACTTCCTGCTGTTACCAATGGAAAAAGAAAGAAAAGCAAAGCAAATGGATGTCTCCATGGTGGCCGGCAGTACAAGGGGCTTACATAACTTTGCTTCTCAGTGCAACTTGATAAGAGAATCCAACATCTCATGGTTGCATATGTGTAGCACTAATGTTTCTTTTTAAGTAGTTGGGGGAAATTGACCTAGAAAACCAAATTGCAGTTTGGTAGCCAAACGTAACTCCTGGTTTATTTGTCCTTTGTGTGTGAAAAGTCCTACTATTCCGTGCGTCACGCTTCCTCCCAGAACTGTCGGTCGTTTTGGGTTCTTCTTAGGACCACTGAGATCTCTTGAGTCGGTACCAACGGCCTTAGCGGCGGCAGACTATGGATTCACATCTTAACACCTTTCTGGCCTGCATCTCTCTAGACTTCACTCTCAAGGGAGGAATTTTCTTTTCTTACCTTTTTGACTCTCGCCCATCATATGCACTAGGGATTCTGGAAACTTCTAGCATGACTGCAAAGTGGCCAAGAGAAAAAAGTCCTTGATGATAAGTCACAGTATATCCCTTGAGCCTCACCTCCGTGCCAGTGCTAGATTTTTTCTTTTTAATCTCTCTGATTTTTTGCTAATGGAAACTTGAAAAAAAAAAAAAAAAAAAGCTTATTTGGAAGCTTAAATGTTTTATCTTTTCTCCATGGACTAAACCTCTCCAGGACTCTCCCGGAACCTGGATGTCCAGCTCTCGAAGCAGCCAATCAGATGGGACATCACAGTTCTCTCATCCCTCCTTGAGGCGTGGTGACCTCAGCTCACAGTGAGCAGCTACTGCACTGTGTCCTTGCCGCCCCTCTAACCAGTTACAACATAGATGTCACTAGTCTCAAAGGGCAGCTGCGTATTTAATCTAACTCTGGGTTATGACCTGACAAAAAGCCAAAAATAATCACTCTTTCCAGGAGTGGAGGAGTCTGAGGGTGCCTCCCAAGTCTAGAGGCTTCACAAAACATCATCCCATCCCTTCCCTCTTACCCACTGAGCTCATGGCACCCACTTGTTAAATACATATTTCAACCTACCATTGTGGGAATGAAGGCTGTCCATGTAGGAAAGGATGGAGGTGTCTCTCTTGTGATGTGTCTAGTGGTTTGAGGAGGGGCGCTTTCTTTGTCGGGAGGGGAACTGGTTCTTTTGGCTAGGCCCACCATGACTTGTGACCTAAAGCACCCAGGATCAACAGAGGCCTCATATTTACTCTGAAAGCTGACTCCAAGGGGATTGTATTGCTCACTTGCATTTCACGCACATACATCCAATGTTGATTTCTATCTTCCAGAATTCTTAGCTAGCTGGCACTGGTCTAAACTCCAAAGACTGCCTTTAGGACCATCAAATGTCCTATGCAAGCAAGCGGGGTGGTTATTAGGGCAGATTGTATATTTTGTATATTCTGGGACCATCCCTTCAAGACATGTCTAACAAACAAAAATGGCATTTGGTCCGCACATGGTTGCTGCTCCCGCATACCAGCTGGCTCCCTCCCGCCCTCCTCTGACGGCTTGACTCGTTGACTGTTAAAATGCGACCCCATGCACATTTGGGATGCAAAACTGAAGTCTTTGAAAGGAAATAATAGTAACAATATAAGCAACACAAACACACAATGACAGCAACCTTCAGGATCCTTGGCGCTTGGGTTCTCAGCTTTCTACAGCTTTTGTTTCACTGAAATGCTGAATCTACTCGTCTGAGGGTGAAGGGACCTCCTTGTCACAAATGCTATAGCTTCCAGTTGGACACTTGGAGCATTTTTGAGGTCTGGCCTTTAGAATTTTCTTTTTTCTTTTACTTCTTTTTTATTTCAATTTAGACCAAAAATAAAAAATAATAATAATAAAGAAACCACCCTAAACACATACACACACACATACATACATACATACACACACACACACACACACACACACACACACACACACTCCATTTGCCAGAAGCAATTATGTATATGTTAGTTGGAGGGTATTGAAGAAAAAAGAAATCTGTTTTATCCCAAAGATTTAAAAGTGGACATGACTTAAATACTGGAGCACTGCTTACTGACAATCTCATTCTCGCCTACATTTGAGTGCATTCGGCAGCCAGTCCACCAGGGCAAACCATGGGATGATGTGTGAATGTGTGGCGCATCCTTTTCGGATGCAGGATGTGTGAGGGACCTTGAACCTCAGCTGTATGGAACTGTAGCGCCTCCAGTCAGTGCACTAGATGAAACTTTAGACTACCCAGATTCTGTTGCTTTGTTTCTTCCCCCCCCCCCCGCTCCCCCTTCTGCAGCAGCCCCCAGCATGAATGCACGCACACGCCAGGGATGGCATTAATCCATGGCTGCCACGATTTACAGATGTTCTCTCCCAGGCTGGGGCTGCTCTTGCTCTCAAAATGTTACTACTAAGGTTTATAGTACTTAATTTAAATTTTGTACGGATCAATGCAAGGCTCTATTTAAAAAGGAAAAAAAAAAGAGAAAAAGAAAGAAAGAAAAAAAATACGCAAAAGAGTAACCATTGCTCTCTGTCCCTCTCGTCATCTGTGGTTTCGTTTGAATGTGGCGGAACAAAGGCCCCTTGGTCCTCTTTGGTGTCGGAAATGTTTGGTAATTTCTCTTTTGTATCAGTGAGGTCCTTTGTAATCTGCTCCTGTCCTCTCTCGGAGCAGGGTGCCCTGAAACGCCATGATGGTGCTTGCTTCAGAGTCCTTTGCTGACTGTGGGAATTGGCCTGAGAATTTGGTGGGTGCTAAGCACGTGGCTTTGAATCTGTTCTTCTTGAGCCCCACTGGACACCTGTGTCGAGGATAACCGGCCCTCAGTGTGGGGTGGGCAGCCCTTGGACCTTTTAGAAATAGGTTTGTGAGAAATCACTCCTTTCTCAAATTGTAGAGGTGGTCTCTTGGAACCTCTGGGGGCAGGGGAAGCAGGTTTTCCAAGAAATAACCTCAACATATATTTTGCTCCCAGGAGGACTGGTTACCTGGAATGATGTAATGGACATTTGAAACACAAAATCCCTTTCACTATTTAAAACATTACCTCCCAACAGTCCAAGGGATCTCAAATTTGAAAGGACAAACTTGGCAGAGCGTGTCATAGGCTGTCCTCTTGGGCACTCTGTCCAGGGTCCAGAGTTGGCTGCGTAGAAGACGTGTTTAAAGCCACTGGCAATTCCTTTACTTCAAGTTACGCCTCTGTCTCCTCCACAAGACCGTCAGGGATGTGGAGACCTGACGTTGTAATGCTGCTCCTTGCTCCTGGCCTCCTGGCCCACTGTCGGCTCACTGGCCCAGCTTCATGCCTCACGGTGATGAGCATTTTGTCCAGAAAAAAAAGAGAGAGAGAGATGTTTGGATTCCATGATAAAGCTGCATTTTTGTAAAACTATTGGAGACCCCAAAAATGACCTTCATGCTGGCCATTGCCCCGTCCTTCCCAAATTCCTTCATAGAGTCCTTCCAACACTCCTCTGTCCCCACCATCACCTCCCCACGCACACCTCCTCTACCTTCTTTCATCTTTGATTGCCTGATGATAACAGGGTAAAAAGACAGCCAACCTCATGCCTGATGAGCAGAATGGATTCTTAGGGTTTTGTTTGTTGTTTTTTTTTTTTTTTAATTTTATTTTTTAAAATCTTCTTTGAAATCAGAGAAGAGCTTATTTGGGGACTTGAATTTGGGATAAGCTTCCAAATGATCCATGTCTATTTGCATCCAAGGGAAAATAATTGGGGTTGGGGTTTGGGGCTAACCCATGCATTCAGAACATCTTGCCTGCAGCCTCCACTTCTGCATCCCATGGGAAAGCCCAAAGACGTAGATTGCCAGTGCAGACCTCAGTGATTGTTTTTGATAGTTCGGAGTGATTTCCTTTCTGGAGGTCACTTCGTAATGTACAAGAAGGAACTACTCTTCTCTCCTCTTCTGCATACGTTGCTCCAAAAGGACAAAGATGGGGAGCACACAATCCATTTGAGCACCCGAATCGGTCTGTTTTCTCTCCCTTTAAAAATAAAGAAACGAAAAGACCTCACATCCACATATGACTGAAATCTTGCCCCCAGAATATTGTCCAAGTGGAAATTCAGTAAGTAGGACCTGGCTGAAATAAATTCATGGAAAACTTCCCCTCAAATTTTCTCTAAGCGGCAGAAGTTGGGGCAGGAGGATACCTTGTTCTGAGTGTCCAGGTTGCATTTCGGGAAACATGGGTGATACTTGATTTGGAACTGGAGGGCCCAGCCCGAGTGTGCTTTACTGCCTTCCTGATGGCCTGTTTTTCTCTCTGAGGATCTTTGGAAGCATTTGAGATGGCACGACAGAAATATGTCAAGGGAAGCAAAGTCTGCTCCTATGAAGTGTGTTGTCTCATGACTAACTAAGGCCTGACGCTTCAGGGTTCCTTGCTTTTAACACTTCAGTCTCCTCTCTTGGTTCCTCTCACAGATCCCAGAAAGGGGATGACTAAGCTGCAGTTAACCTTGTGTGCATCCTTCCAATAGAGTACTGTATTCTTCGGGTGTTCAGTATTTGCGTGTAAGTCCTCGGGAAACAGGTATCCAAAATGAGAGTGAAATCAAGGCTGTCACGTCAAAAATATCCCAAACAAGATACTCTTTCAAAACAGGGCTCCCTCTCTGTGGTTATGAGGGAAGGTTGATGTGTTCTTGCTTGGGGACCATTTATACGATTTTTTTTTTCAACTGTGAGCTTTGACCCCAGCTTCGATCCCAGCTTCTGTCTACTGCCATAAACAAAGGACCCCACATCAGAATAATGAGGGTGGTGTGTGTGCACGCACCTTCATGGGTGTGCATATGTACCTACTGTACCTTCACAGAAGGAAAACAGGCTACTGAGGTAAAGAGGGGTAGCCACCAGTGCCTAATCTCTTTTTGGGGGGGATGAATGCTTCTAATACCAGTATATAAAAACCACACCACTGGGAGTTAGTTCCATGTACAGGGGAGGAGCAGTGGGTGGGGGAAGGGGACATTTTAACCCTAGCCCTTGGGACCAGAGGCAGAACACTTTTTTGTAAATCGGGTCCTGAAGATTTGGGGGCTCGTTGGCTGGTTCTTTTGTGTTTGCTTCCCAGCATGCATTTCCTAGCCCAAGCTCCGATAGTTTTGATTTCTTCCCGTTCTCACGTCTTCTGCTCCATTCCAGGGAGGAAAAGTACACCTGTTAGGGCCCAGATCTCCTTGCTTGACACAGAGGCAAAAAAGTAAACGTTGAGCGTTTCCGGGGCCTCTCTTCCTTCCCTCGCGCACCACCACCACGCCACCCCAGCACCCTCACTCCGGCTCATGCGACATGACTCCCCCAGGCACCGTGGCTTTCCTTTCCACTCTCTATCGTCCTCTTCACAGTTGCTTGAAGAAATTTAATTTTGCACTATACATTTTCGTTTTGCCGGACGTGGCTAACAAGCGTGTTTGGAAAGACTTTGCCCCCCAGCCCCTCCCCTCCCCCCCACCTCCCCGTCACATTCTCTCAGGCCTTCTCTGGTATTTATAATATATCACAGAAGTACCCAGTCTTATAGCCCTCGGTTATGCCTTTTTTTGACATTTTATTTTTTTTAAGCTTTTTATATATATATATAAATATATTACTTTGTCAAGTTTTTTTGCTGTACAAAAGTCTTAAGATTTAAAACTATTATTTGTATTATATGATGGTGGTATGTTAATGTTACAAAATTATTAATGAAGAAAAAATTTATTTTTGTTACTGGTCTGTTTCATAATTCTTTTTTAAATTGGTATATTGTAAGATATCTATGCAAAAATGTTATGTGACGCATTTTTATTTAAGAATGTAATATGTGTAATAAACAGTAGAATGTGTTTGGCCTTGGGATGGTTCACTATATTTCCCCATCAGCTCATTTCATTAGTGGAAAAAAGTCATCAAAGAGACACAAATGGTTCCTTACGATCTTCATACAACTTTTCTTGGGGAAGAGGAGGCAAAAGGTGTCCCCCCCCCCCTTAGTGTGTGTGTGTGTGTGTGTGCGCGCGCGCGCGCGCGCGTGCGTGCGCGCGTGCGTGCGTGCGTGCGTGTGTGTGCGTGTGCGTGCACTTCATGGTTTCAGTGAAGGAAAGGAGAAACAGCAAATGGTTAGAGGTTATGAAAAGCAATATTTTGGAATAAGGTCGATTACAGGATGCTATTTGTTTAGGGAGCTGAGAGCGGCTTATTGGAAGTGGGTTATTTGATGAGGGAAAAGGGGCAGTTTGCTCTGTACTGCTGTTAACCAGGAGTATGTTTGGAAAGGATCATTTGAAGCGGTTTGTGGAGGAGGGATGAGGGGGGACGAGTAGAGGGAATCCCTGAGGTAAGGACAGGGAGTGTGTACAAGCCTCGGTGGGTAAGAGAGGGCAGAAAGGAACTAAGCAGGGCAGCACAACTCCAGCGACTCCTCAGAGAAGGAACAGATGCAGATACAAGCACCCCCGGAAGCCAAAGAGGAGAAATCTGAGAGAATCCTCTGAAGGAAGAGACTGCTGACGTCATTTCTGCATTGGGCTTCTAGAGGGAGCATTGAGGTAGGAAGTAAGGTGGAGGATCCAACTGCTGTGTGATCCCAGCGTCCCTTGCCCGGCCATTCCCCCAGGGAAGCAGTATTACTAACTGAAAGCAACAATAAACACTTCGTCTCCTGGGACACACAGCTGCTGGGGGGTTCTTTTCATGCTTTGGGCTTCCTGGAATGGATACGATGGCTAAACATCTCTACCCCTCGTCACATAAACCTGGGGAGAAATTTCAGTAAGTGTCCACATTAGAAACCGTGACTACAGGGACTGAACCTGCCACAGGAGAGCGGCCTGGACAACGAACTTGAGCAGGGTAGGAGCTTCGAGGAGAGATGGTCCTCTTGTTTTCCACGTCAAAGAGCAGTAAGGAAAACAGTGGGTGCTTCGGGGCCAGAGAAACGCTTTGGAAAGTCTAATTCTCAGCCACCACCTCTGAGCAGGCAAGTGGCCCAGACAGGGTGAGAGGCAAGGACTTGACCCAGTGAGGGAACACAGCAGTAGAGCTGCAGATCTCCTCAGTTTCCCCCAGCCTTTCAGGAGCCTCAGCAGGTGAGCAATCGAATTCTCGGAACCCAAATCATTCTCTAGAAACTTCTCTGAGCAAGAAGGGGAGAAGGTAGCTTTGCAGCATTACCTGGAACAAGGATGGCTTGCTCCTCTGCCGCCTTGATTTATGGTAAGGCACCACTCTGGACATTTTTAAGTGGCTCACACCCTGCACTGTGCCGGGATGCTGACAAGAGTGTAAATCTAATCTATATGGCATAAGGAAATGAGATACATAAGGGAATACTCTAGACGGCTGAAGCACCCTTTTATTTTTATTTTTTTTAAGGTTTATTTATTTATTTTGTATACAGCATGTATGACTACAGGCCAGAAGAGGGCACCAGATCTCATTACAGATGGTTGTGAGCCACCATGTGGTTGCTGGGAATTGAACTCAGGACCTCTGGAGGAGCAGCCAATGCTCTTAACCGCTGAGCCATCTCTCCAGCCCCCGAAGCACCCTTCTTTAGAGTCCCATTTTTTCTGCTTAGAATAGGTTGTAATACGTGTTACCTATGTCACAACCTTTTGAACATCCTTTTCAAAAAATTGCATCTCTCTCTCTCTCTCTCTCTCTCTCTCTCTCTCTCTCTCTCTCTCTGTGTGTGTGTGTGTGTGTGTGTGTGTGTGTGTGGTGTGATTTATGTGGAAGTCAGAGAACAACTTTCAGGACAACTTTCACTTCCACCATATGGGGCTCAGAGGTTGAACTCAAATGATCAGTCTTGGTGGCAAACACCTTTAATTGCGGACCCATCATGCTGACCCTTGAGCAACCATTTTATGCAGTATAAATTGGAGGAAAGCTCCAGTCTCTGTGTTTTCCTTCCCTGGCACTGGAAGACTATGCTTTATATACAGTAGGAGTTTTACTTTTGTGTGTGTGAGAGAGAGATCTTTGTCCTCTTTGGATGTGACAAAGTTTTTGTTTGACATTTTCTAGAAGTACTTTATCTTCTTGTCAAGTAGCAGATCAGATAAGTGAGATGGGGAATGTCTTTTAAAAAAAAAATCAAAAATGCAACCGGAAGCCAACAGTAGTCTGAGAGTTTGGTCTGGCTGACCTTGGACTTGAAGAGTGTGACCTTGGTGGCATCTGCAATGTGCGTTTGTGTATCTAGTTGAGAATGTCAGACTAATGCTAAGAAGCCTCAGGAAAAAGCAGAGTTCAATGGAACTGATAAATAATTTAGTGATTTTTAGCTCATCTTCCACTTACAGATTTAGAAGAGGAGATGGCTACAATTTTTAACTAAAATAGGATTTTGAGGCTACCTACAAGGGTTCCTGGCTGATCTGTGATGGGCCAGTTTCATCTCCAACTCTCAATGTTTTATCTGATATGTTTAAAACGGTCGGTATTAACTGGTTTGAATTTTATTACCTTTTAAAAGTACATCTGACTTTGCTATAGCTATACATACAACCAAAGCATATTTTTAAATGATGAAATGGTCAAAAAAAATCTGCAAGAGGATGGGAGGCCAAGATTTCTGTTTGCAGAGACTTTTTCATTTCCCAAAGCTGTCAAGACTGTATAGGTTGAATAGGTGCTATCTGCCATTCTAGTCATTTCCTTGCTCTCTTAAGTAGAGAAAATGGTCACATTCAAAGACAAACACTGCAAGGTGTCATTCATAAAGAGAATCCTAAAATGTTGAATTCATAGAAGCAGAAGGCCATCACAGGCTGAACGGGACTGACTGGTCAAAGAAGACAAAATTTCAACTGGGAGGAATAAGTTCAGTAGATTGTTGGGCCACACACTGACTAGTCGATTGAAATGGACTCCTTTTTAAAGTTTTATTTTTATTGTTTTCTATTGTGTGTGTGCGGGGGTGGGGGGGAGGCATGCATGTGTCTGTGTATGTGTGAGTGCAAGCTCCATGAAGTCCAGAAGAGGGACTTGGATCCCCTGGAGCTGGAGTTACAGGCTGTTGTGAGCTGTCTCATGTGGGTGTTGGGAACATAACTCAAGCCTTTTCTGCAAGAGCAGCATTTATCTTAATGGCTAAGCTACCTCTCCAACCCCCAAATAATCATATTCTTGAAAACCCCAAAACAGAATAGAAAGTGTTCTCATCATAATAAACAAAGAAATGGGTAAGTATGTGAAATATGTTAATCAGATTGCTTTGGGTGCTCTACCATGCAATTCAAAACATCATGTTCTATAATAAATATATACTACTTTTGAAAGTTGAAAGTGATTAATAAAAATAAGGAAAGGAACTGGGGCCTAAGCAGGACATGTGATTTTATTGATGCCACATTACACACGGGCCGGAAGTGACCACCAGTTCCTTGCTTCCTAACCTAGTACACTGACTTTTTATTTCCCTGCTTTAGGGAAACCAAGCGCTGCCTTGATGCCTCAAATCACAGCAGGCAACACCGACTCCATCTTCTTGCTTCCTTCCCACCTATCACAGAAGGTTACCCACACAGTAGTTAGAGTTGTCACATGGTGAATTCGAGAGCATCTTGGAGATGCCTGTCGGTGCCACTGTGTCCCCTTGAGTCAAGAGAAGTTTAGCAGACTCTACTTTGCCCAAGTTCACACAGCATGTTCTTTGCACAGTGAAGTCAGCCCAGGGGTGTTGATAGGTCCTGACCGTGGTCCTTCAACTTGAGCTACTTGAGTGTACCATTCAAGAGCCCTGTGATATCTTTACACTAGTAATTATTTCCTTGGTAATTTCCTGCAGATCAATGTGCTTTCTAAGGCATTAAGTATAGATGTTTTAGTTTTGTGCTAAGCAAAACCAGTCCCAGATCATTGGCTTGATAACTGTTTTCTCTTAAAATACAAATGAAAATAAGTAAGTAACTCAGAATACAACTACCCATCTTTGAATGGCATTCAAATGCCCAATTGCTACTGTTGGTACCTGAGAGACGCCATTTGTGGCCACTCTCTGAAGTGCCTGCTGGACCGTTTCTTTTTAGCTCATTGTTAGGTCCCTTTGCCTCTCCTTGGAGCACATTTCAAATTGAATCTAAAAGTAAGTGCATGTGAAAATATAATAAAGACTGATTTGATGCCTAGAAAGGTACTTCAGGGCACAGTGCTCTTGCAGCCACTGTGGCTTATTAGTGAGACAGATGTGCGTGCTCTGCCTCACTTTCCCGTCTTGGAAGGCCCACCTGTCATGGTGAGTTCAAATGTAGCAGTAGCCTGGGGATGGAGGCCACAGCAAACACTCCTCTCCTCCTGCCCCAGGGTCAACAGTCGGTGCCTGGAAAGCACTGCATGCCAGGAGGCTCATTTTCAAAATGGGCTCACCTTCATCCCATGACTCCTGTGTCTCAGGCCAGCACCTCTACCCACACATGTACACAGACACACAACTCAGCCTCCTAAATACGTTTGTGATCGTGTTGTAGATCCTTCACGTCCTACTACTAAATATTTATACTTTGCCTAACATCTTTCCTGTTTTGTAACCTCGACTAGCCAAAAAGAGACAACTCTTTCTGTCTTATCCATTCTTGATATGGATGCATCTTAATACAAACAAGTTTATTCCTCCAGGTGAAAGTTTTTCAAGTACAGAGACAACGAGAGGTATGGCGATTATAGAGAAAAAAAAAAGCCAGAGGCAGTGGCCAACTCTGGAGGTGTAAGCTGCCAGGCAGGCTACACCTTACTCATCATCTCATCACTGCCAGGCCATGGGGCATCCGGGGAATCAAGGGACTGAAGGAGAACCTGTTGCCATTAAAGTCTCCCGTGTGATCAAATGAAGGATCCCTAG